TTTTGGGTCAGCTCTGCTTGAGAGCAAAAGCTAAAAAGCTAACTGTGCTGGTTCTGAGCATTTATCAGATGAGTGAGGTGCTTCAAGCAAGAGCTCAAATAATTGTGTTTCCAACATTTTGCATGAAGATAAGAATTATCTTGAAGTGCTATTATTAACAAATCTTTTTTATAGGTGTCCAAATAATGCAAACTTGCACAGTGATGCAAGTCTATAAATCACCAAACTTTTATCCCTCACGAGATGACTTCCAAAGCTCCTCAGGTTCACAGCAGATGCTGATGCTTTGTTTCCCCGTGCTTTGCACCTGGAGTTTCTCAGGGACTGTGAAGCAACCCTGCGTTTGATGGGAGCAGTCAGAGGGGGATGGGGTTGAGCATCAGGAGAAAGCGTAACTGAGAGACTGATAGAGACATCCTGACAGCTAGAATGGGTCATCAATAGATCCATCATGCCAGTAATTTGCAACAAATTTAACATACATCACTTTAGTCAGGCCATGCTGTATCTGTCTTGTCACAGCATCAGAGTGAATAACACTTAAATCGGGTGTCACCGTTGACCTCTCTGACCCTTGAATTGACACTGCTGTTTGAGCTTGGCCTAGCTGGCAGCGGATGTAGAGAAGATTAGTACAAAAAGTGGGGGTGTACTGAAGGAGGACAGAGCATAACAATACAGCTTAACCAGGCAAACAAATGGTATCTCTGGATTTTCTCCCAGTCTTGCTTTGCTTGATGAAGTGTTGGCATTTGTTTGGACCTATTTCCAGCATTCTTTACTCAAATTAACTGTGTACATTTTTCATTCTGATTGATTCTGTATGTATGCATGAATATACATATGCAATAAAATTTGTAGACTTCAAGGTGACCACCATGAAAACCAAAGTCCTACAGAAGATGTAGAACACAAACTGTAGTAAAACTAAATTATTGTCTTCTATGTTCGAAACATGACACCCAGCCTGAGACATGAATGGATGCTTTGACTGCGTTGCCACTTTCAACTTGTCAGTGCAGACCTAGCCCTGTAGGAAATGACCAAGCTTCACAAAAAAGTGTGTCTCAGAAAGAGAGCAGGAGAGACCAAGACCCCCATCAAACCCCAAAATCCTGTGCTGAGTCGGGACATGTTAAAAAACCTCCTAGATTATCCTATGGAGAATTAAGGCCCTTCCAGCAAGCACAGCCAGTCTGGAGCTTGGGGGAATATTCTTCTGACATCAAATCTGAAGACTGAATTAGCTCAGAACCTGTGAGCAAGGCTCACCAACCAGCTAAACGACATATTTTCATTCATCCAAGAGAAGCTGTTTCCCCCATTTTCAATCTTAATGAATACCTTCCATAGACTTCTATAGTTGTTTCTACAGACTAGCATGGAAACGACTACAAACCTGTTAATTCTCGCTGGTGCTAGAAACTAGACACCCTCCAGAGCCAGACAGAGCCTACTGAGTCTGCCAGCATTTATTTTTGAATCAGCACATGATAGAATTACACGATTTGTTTGCTCACCCGAAAGGCACTTTAGAGCCATTCATGGTATGTGTGCGACTGGATGCTGGGTGGGCTTTTCCACTTCAGTCATTCATCCTTCTAAACAAATATGTGGCTATGGGCTGAAATTGGATTTTTTTTCTTCAGGCATTGTTCTTAAATGGGTGACTTTTAATTAATGGACTTTGAATGGCAATAAAGGGAGAAGCTGTGTGAGCAGGTAATTGGAAGTTACAAAATTAAAATGTATATGACTTGTATAACAGCTTGTTCTTTTTTTCTGACAATCTGCTTGATGTTTGATATCTTGGTTAAACTGATTTATCACATCACTAAATATCCCTCAACTGGAAGAATAAGAAGCTCTTTGATTATTCTGTGTGTCTTATAATGTTCACATTTAATGAATATTTGAAGGTGGAAACATATCAAAAGTGACAGAAATAACAAGAAAATTATAAAAGGTTAGAGAAATTAATGTTTTATGCAAAGAAAGACAATTTATTTCTTTTGCATTATTTCTGCTTTTAGGAAAGACTGGTAGTAAAGTGAAATGTATTTGTTAATTAGTTGTCCAGAATGTTAATCAGATTCTACTTTATTGCTTTCTGAGTATGAAGGTGACACCCCAGACATCCATTGACACCACCATAAGCATTTTTCCTGTCTTTCTCAGGAGAAGGACTATCTTCAAAGGGTCTGAGTTAGGCCTTAGTCTTATTTACAGCAAGGGCTAGTCAGGGCAGATTATAATATGTGTAGTATCTTTAGAATGAATTGTATCAAAATTATTCATGTTTGTAATTTTTTTTTTATAATTAGCAACTGAATCAGCATACACTGTGTTTGAATTTCTGTGTTGCTTGGGCAGCGAGAGGCAAAAAAGTGGAGACAAATCAGTACCTGGCAAGCCATGTTTCACTCAGGATTTCTGGGATTTGAGAGCTGAATGGAACTGAAATTACATCAGGAAGGTGAAGACCTCTGTCCCATTGTCCACTTGTCCTATATTCCACTGAGAAGATAGGTATCAGAGGAGTTGGGGGTCATACAAAGGTGGGCATGGGACACATGTGAATTCACATACAGCTCATAACCATGTATGAACTGGGGTTAGCCATGATGGGGAGTCCTGGTTCTTGGGATAATGTAGCCCTTTACATTTTGCATAGATATGTTCTCTCCTTCTTTCTACTTGATCTTCAAAAAAACTTTTTTATAGTGCATTTTACTTAAACCTGTTTCTTCCCTCATTAATTTTGATGTGAAAGGAGGAAGGAAAAGAATGTGTCTGACAAAGGACCTTTCATGTGTACGTGCAGTGGGTTTGGGGTTTTCTGGTGGACCCAGTAAGGAGTCATAGTATGCATCTGAAGGCAAGTTTGAGACTTTCTCTGGATTCTTCCTATAGGCAGCCCTTGGGAGTATGTAACAGCTGTTCAGGATAGGAGGTAAGAGACAGCCAGAAAGGATGCTAAGTGCGTGGTCCCCTTGGTGCAATCAACTGCAGTAACTGGCCTAACTTACCTGTGTGAGCTTGGTGGCTCTTTGTTGAACACCTTCTGGCCATCATTGTGTTTCTATTACTGGGGGAAGGTATTCATTAAGTTAGCTGTGAATACTCCTACTTTTGGAATATATGAGCACATAAATTTCTTTTTCCTCGAAGGAATGTCAATCTTAGGTCTAAACATTTAAAATTCCAGTAGAGGAATAGAGCCAGAGTACCTCATGAAAATTGGGATTTATTTGCTTTATGGCCCCATTTTTCCCTTTGGTCCAGCCTCCTTCACTGGATAAAATTTCCTGTAACAGATTATGAGTTTGCCTCAAATATGAACCACTTCACCACCAGGCTTTCTGCTATTGTGGACAAGGGCATGCAATTAGCCAGGGTGACACCTCCAAATAAAAGTGATGATATGAAGCATTTACATTCTAATTCCTGTAATATATTCATATGGCACTACCTCAAGGAAGCTATTCAATTTTGGGAGAGGATGTGCATGGCAATGTTTTTTTTTCATATGTGTTATTAAGTAGAAAGTTGGTAAATAAATGATCCAGTTCTTGTGATAGCTCTACTCTTCCTGCCTAATGTGGGTAGAGGAGAGTGCTAAGGTATTAGTAGAATCATACCTTCCACTAGACCAGGTTGCTCAAAGCCCTATACAGTCTGGCCTTGAACACTTCCAGGGATGGGACACCTACAACTACTCTGGGCAACCTCTTCCAGTGCCTCAGCATCCTCACAGTAAAGAATTTTTTCCTTATATCTAATCCAAACTTACCCTCTTTTAGTCTGAAGCCATTCTCCCTTGTTGTATCACTACATGCTCTTTTAAAACTCCCTCTGTAGCTTTCATGTAGGCCCCTGTTAGGTACTGGAAAGCTGCTATAAGGTGTCCCTAGAGACTTCTCTCCTCCAGGCTGAACAACCCCAACCCTCTCAGCCTGTTTTTGTAGGAAAGGTGCTCCAGCCCTGTGATCATTTTTGCAGCACTCCTCTGGAGCCACTCCAACAGGTCTGCCACCGTGTTTGTTCTGGTAGGTGTTAATACCCACATTCTTTACTGTCTTCACAGGAAATTAAGCTGAAAAGTTACAAAGGGGAATGATAGAGAAACTTTGCGTGGAGAGCCATGCGATTGTGGCTGCACCTAATTCCACTCTCTAAATAGATTACAGATAATTTTTTGGCTCTGAATTCACTCCCATGAGGTAATTGCATTCTTTATTTTCACACTTTACAAGTAAAAGTCTGGGACTCTATCCCAGTCTCTTCCTCTCCCTTCTCTTATACCAAAACAGAGCCTTTGTAGCCACAGCCCTCTTCTGCTTAGAAACCTGAGATGTTTAGAAGCAGTACTTGACAGAAAAGGGAGCCAACTTCACTTTCTCAAATGCAGTTTGTGGTAATGCTCTTGGTAATGCTGTGTGCATACCTGTAAAGGAGACAGCTCATGGGGGGAAGCACTTTCCCTCTGAAGCCTGGCACCTCAGCATCTCTCCTCCAGGCAAAAAAAAGAGGGAGCTTGTGGTTGGTCCTGGCCTCCTTGCAATAGCCCTTCAGAATCTTGTTGCTGCTGGCAGGAGAGGCCTTCATGCCATCCATGCATGTCCCTACCAGCCTGAGAGGCTGTGAAGAATGGCTGGAGGGAGCACAGCAGTGCAGGTCTCCTGTGGGACTGAGCAGGACTGTTGCTATACTCATGGGGGAATTATGGTCCAGCCAAGGAAGGGAGACAGTGTGCACACATTCTTTATCCTGCTCTTGGGGGAGTGCTAATCCTACTCCTTGTGAGGGCTGCCAGCAGGCATTGGCACATCCTACTCAACCCTCGGGACAGAAGGATCACCGTACAATCTCATGCATTTCTTAAATCTCATGCTAAAGGTCTCAAGCTAGGCTGTTCCCACTGACTTGACCTTCTTAAATAAATGTATCCCTTCTCTTGTTTTCTTATCAATTGTTCAGTGACTCACCTGGTGTTTTTCAAATTTTTTTATTTCAAAATTTTTGCAATGTATTGTTTAAAATCAGAGGCATGGAAAGAACTCCTAAGTGTCTCACAGTGGTTTGTTCTCTGCAGCTCTTCTTTACTCTTTTCTGCCATGGGAACAAATAAGGTGATGATAAAATTATCATTTGGTCCAGCTTTATATGCCTGTTTAATTTTAAAATTAAAAGATTCATAAATAACTTTCTCTTGTCAAAATCATATTTTATGCTTCAGTTTTCAAGAGTTTTAGATTTGAATTGAACCTTGCTGTTTAGTCTCTGATTTATACTGAAGTGATTAAACCTCTGATTTATACTGAATACTTCCATATTAAGAAATAATAAAGGTGTGCTAAAACCTTTTCCCAATAATCAGTTTTGTTAGGTACATCAGGTGTTACTGTAGCATAGATATACAGTAGTTTAGGTACATTGCAAACAGCATCTTATAGTATCAGACAAAGAGAACCTTTTACAAACCCCATGTCTCTAATTTCATTTTAGAAAATTAGATACTCAGAATTTTGCATAAGATAACTGTATTACTGGGATGCAATTTGGCCCAGGTTTCTAGCTTTAGTGCATGTGGCTCCCTAATAAAAAGTGTCAGTTAAAATGAAAATACAGCTTGGGTAATTAAATTTAATTGGATCTTGTCACTTTAAATCCTCTTCGTTTTTGAGTGTTTCTACAGAATTGCAGCTTCTGGTTTGCTAATTTCTTTATTGCAAGCTGTGCTCTGAACCTGACTGTCCTATAATAAAGTGGGACCTTGTTTTTGTAGAGGGCTTTGAACCATGACTGTAATAACAAACAAAAGAAGGGTGGGAGCTAATTTATTGCCAAAAGAAAACCTCTCCTTTATTTCCTACACGTTCAGTTAGTGAAAAATAATGGCTCTGAATTTATTAACCCTTTAATTTTCCCCTCAGTTGAGCACCATTTTGCATAAGCTCTCATGAATACTATGGTATGATGCTATGCCTGTGACAGGCAGCAGCAGCAATTATCATACTTTTTTATACTGGAGTTTTTTTGGGCAAGCAGTAGGGATTAGGTGAATTGCAGTATTCATATGTAGGTCAAGCAGGGTACAGGCAGCCACAATGCAAATGATGTGTACTGCCTGCCAATAGCCACCGTGCTGATTCGCAGGGATCACCTTCTCCAGGGGTGAGAGGTAATTCTGTTTCTTTATTACACATTGCACATGCACAGCATCCAAAGGCAAGAAAGATTTAAGTGCAGGTGATGAAGAGATAAAATATTGGCCATACCAAGAGACACATCATAAAAATGATCAGTCTGTCAAATTGTACAACTGCTAATGCCCATATTTCAAATTAAAGACAGTTGAATGAATTTGTACACTCGGATTTTATGCGTGAAATACAGTATCATTGCATCCTTGATTAGAAGACAGGTCACTTAACACTGATATCTCAGAATGACTAAAGATGTAGGACTGTCCTTCACAGCACAGTAGTGGTCCCCTTATTTTCTGCTAAAGCAGATGGATATGATATAATTACATTTTGCAAAATGCTGGCAATACAAGTACCTCAAACAGGATCGCTATGCCAGTGCAGTCACACTGTTTATAACCTCTTCTGTTCCAAAGGTGTGCCTCACATTTTACTGATAGGCCTGGGAGAAAATCTCTGCAACCAGATACAGAAGGCTCTGTTTAGTTGCCTGCACATGGGTGTTGACCAAGTTTTGAGCTGGCTTCCTGCCAAGTCTCCAAAACTTAGCAAAAGCCTTTTCCCTCCCCTCCCCTTTTGGGCAAAGGAAAGAAAAACTGTAGAAACTGAAAGAAACCAAAACCAAGTAAATTATACCAAAATATATATATATATATATATATATATATATATTACATATATCACAGTTATATACAGTGAGAGTACTTTGTACACCCCCCCCCCCAAAAAAAAAGGAAATGGAAAAGGGGAAAAGGGACAAAACCGGACAAAACCAAACCAGATACACACAATCAAAACCCAGGAACTAACAAAATAAAGAACTAGCAAAATGAAATCTCACCACTTCCCTCAAGGAAAGCAGGGTCGCCAGACACAGTCAAATCTCTCCACCTCCCACATGGCAGGCAACAGCAGTCGCTGCAGGCCTCAGCTTCCAGGTAAGTGAGACCAATGCGGTGACTTACAGTTCCTGAACCTCACCAGAAGAGAAGAGAGCGAAGGCTTCCCTTCCTTTCTCATTTATACCTCTGGTTATGTAAAGGATAGCATGGAATACTGGGAGCATAGGGTACTTCCCTGGTTACAAGCTGGTCTCCAGGAAGGCCTAGACCGAAACTATCACAGGTGTCTAGGCCTAGTTGAGGTGCCTGAGGTTATGTGAGGTATCTGCACAGAGCTGAAAGACACTGGACCCTTAAAGTAAGATGCAGAGTGCAGATGAAGATGTATCTTCATGCATTGGTATCTATATGGGAAATACATTCCTAAGTGCGTATTTTAACTAATGAAGCTCTAGCCTTTGGTTCAGATGCCCCCAAACAAGTGGTAGCTGGGATGTCCAAGCTTACCTCACCTGACCTCTACCTGCTGGTCCAGAAGAGCATAACCATTACATGTTCCTGTTTTATATCTATTGCATCTATCTTGGTAGCCCAGGAGAGATCATCCAGCACTAATTATCTACCTGTGTTTAGGAAACTAAATCTAGGCCTAGAGATCCCTTTGTTCCATAAAAGATGGGCACCTAAATTTAAGGGTCTGTAGCCTGAAGCTGTACAACTGCTATTTTTGCAGACCAGCTCATCATGGGAACATGTGGAGCATGAACACATGCCTCTTCCCATGCTTGGTCTCCCTCTCTGTTGTGCGTTGACCACCTTGCTCCCCTGAGCAGCACCTGGCTGGGGCTGATGTTCCATCATTTCCTTCTCATTCATCTGCTGCTTTTCCCAAGGCAAGTGCATCATGACTTCCCAAGGAGGTAACACTCTCCTAACCTGCATGCATGGCTGAATTAGGAGAGCTGAAGGAGGCACCCGGAGGCAGGAACAACCCATCCTTTCTGAAATAGGTGGTACTCACCATCTTTGGAAGATCTGCTTTTTCCATTCATTATAGCTGGAACCTGGATGACTAGTTTGTAGTATTCACCTAAATTGTAGATTCCTAAATTAATAGATCTAAGATGAGATGAATCTCATATTGTCTGTGTTTCTATATATTATTGACGGAGTCACAGAATTTCTATCTGCTTAAAATAGTACAATCAGACCAAGGCAGCAATAATACACCCCAGTAATTAATTACAGGGATCAGATTCACTATAAGAAAATGTCCTGGCTTGCTGTTGCTGAAAATAGTGGCCAAACATCCCATCACTTTCAAAGAAGTCAGAATAAATTATTTCACAGTGTTTTCTGGATTTGTACAGTGTTTTATAATTTTATTAGGGGAACACATAAGCAAAGACAGTCTTATTTTCATACTTGTCTTTTTGTCATTGCTTGTTTTAGAGCCTCTGGAAAGCAATAGACTATAAAGATCTATTTAAAGAGATTACATGCTTTATTTATACATGGAACAGATGAATGAATGGATAAAATAATATATGATTTCTTACAGCTACCACTTAATCAGCATGACTCATCAGACTGTAGTAAGTCTGCTAGTAAGTCTGTCTAATTCTTTTTTTCTGTCACATTTGGGCCTTGGGATTCAGATTGAGATTGCATTTCATTTTGCAGATGAACTATCTTATCTTAATTTATGAGAATGATAGATGGAAACAATGGTTCTCATGTTTAGTGTATTACATCAGACACATAGGATGGATTATACAAATACATCTTGTAGTATTGTGCAATTTTCACTTTCTTTTTTCCTTTTTTCCCTGATTTTCAAAGCATTGAATCTCATTCACAATGGAATAGCATTTTAAAAATATTCAAATTTATTATGTCAATGTTGGTAAGGTATTGATTTGTCCAATTTTACTTTTCCTTCTGCCAAAAATAGACAGACACCTGAATTCCAGTTAACTCTCGTGAGGTTCTAAGCTCCAAGTTTATTTGACACTGCTTGGAAAATGCTATCCTGTAATTTTAAGTACTTTAATGGAAGACATTTCAGCTAGGTCCACTTTCTTTTCTGTTGCAAGAAATTTTATCAGACTTCCCTGACACTTGGCTGGGACCTGATCCACCTTGTTTATGGTTTAATATGTAGTCTTCATTAAAACCAGTACTAGCAAACTGGCCTCTAAAAAAAGGGCAAAAATACTGTACCCTGTAACCAGGAGCATGGCTATAGAGATTAAACTACATTAGCAACTACAGTACTAGAATTAATGCTGTCTGATTAATTTGCCCCTTTTAGTGAGCAATGTCTATTTTTTCTGTAGTGCTAAATGGCTCTTTAAGGATATATGATTACAAATTTACAGACTGTTTTTTGAGGCCTTATCTCTACCTCTTTGATCTTTAAGGGTTTACAGCAATCTGCTACTAAATTTTTGCAACATAGCGAGAGTAATTATTTTAAATTTATGGATGATTTCCTATTCGATCACTTTTGTCCTAGATTAGAAACCACCTGAATGACAGTCTAAAAATCATGATAACAAATCTTACGTGACCTCTTCATCATCATAATTTAATACAGACTCCTAAATGAACATTTTTAGTAGCTGATTGTTCAGCACTTGCACATTATCATGAAACATTCAATTTCAGGAAAAAACTCTGTTGGGAATAGGGGGAGCTCAATGCATATATGCAAGAGATTATACAATGCACTGTCTGAGATCTCAGGGGACACTCAATAACTCAGGTGTTTCCTTCTGGCCTTATGTTTTCATTCGGGCAAGCATCCTCTTTTGGGTCCAGCAATGCTGGATGTTGCTGTTTGTATAGCTCTTGCAACTGCTTTTCTGTAGAACAGTTCCTGGCTTCTGCCAAGGAGGAATTCATGTGAACATTCACATTTTGCTGCACGTTTTGCTTGAACAGACAGTTGTACCATTTAAGCTAGTCACAATCACCTTGCCTACAGTGAATGAGGGAGAGCAAGCAGTTTGCTGGAAGCACTAACCATCTTAAGGATGGACCAAAATGAGTGGCCACCAGCACACTTCACTCCGGAGTTGTACTTTTTAAACTTTTGAATTAAAATAATTGATTCTCATTCATGTAATTAGTGCTGATGACTTTTGTGGGACTATTACCACCTGTGAGAGTACCACTTAATTGATACTATAGTTTTCTTTCCAGATGTTTCACAACTTTGAAAGACACTAGATCAGTTACTAGTTACCTCCTGATCTCCCTGATAGTTCTCAGGCAGAGGAAGGAAGTGTATCCTTGCAGGTTCCCACTGCTCTATTGCAGTACAAACTAGATTTGCTGCACTGCTCCCACTGACTCACCTGTTTTCACAGCTTGAACGTCAGCATAGCTAGCAGCCTTGATGCCAGCACAACCCTGCTTCTGGTCATATAATGTCATCTAGACTGAGAATTGCACTTGAATGAATAGCTCATGATCTGCATGTTGCTCAAGTGTTTTGTGAGCCAACAAGAAAGCAAACTGTAGACCTGCTTTGCTCAGATCACCTAAAGGCAAAAGTCACTATGTCCCACCAGCAATTCCCTGAGTCAGGTTGTCTGTTATTCTTTGTCAAGGATGAATCCAGTGGCAGCTGCCAAATGTAATTGGCAGGATGCACTTACTGCATGCCAAAAGGACTAAGTGTCCTGCTGTGTTACATTGATATTGCTGGTGAAGCCATGGAACCCAGCTGGTTCTGTGCCTCATATAAGTACGACTGAAAAGAGTAATTTTGCATGACAAACATATTCCTTGAATGTTACCCTCTATCCACTGGGATAGAAAACCATCTCTCCATTCTGGGCCATGATTATGATCTTTGGTTTTCTTCATGCAGCAGTTTATGCAATTACCGTGTTCATGCCCCTCTCTCTTTAATAACTTTGGAGACTCCTTAATAACTTTGGAAGCCCCAGCCAATTTCAGCCATAGCTGGCAGGGAGGAAAAGATCTGAGAGATATTAATTTCCTCAAAGTTTGAATAAAATAGTTATATACAGAACCTTTCTAGAGAGTCCACTGAGACAAAAACTCGATCCTTTTTAGAGACCAGACTCTGAGCAAGAGGGAAATACAGTGAACATCCCAGCTGTAGGGAAAACTTCAGTCAGCCTTTGCCCTTTATAGCTGACTAATAGATCAGTTGTATCACAAATGTGCAGGAATCCAGACTCTGTCAGCTGTGTTGTTCACCAAGTTACATCTGCATTAACCATCCACCACAAGAAACTTGTAAGTCAGTCATAGGTGATAAGCATATGTACCTATTTTTCCTAAAAAATCTCCACCCTTATTGGATGTATTTTTGCACATTGGATCCCTCTTTGGTAGTCCTTTTCTCCTTCTAACCACCTAAAAGACTTTGGTTGGTTTAATAACCTGGTGGTCAGCCACTGGACTAATTTCACAGGTCTATGCTGCTTCCCTGGCCCAACAGTGTTATGTCAGGTGGTATTACAAATGAAGTGCATACAGAGAGACAGGTCAGTGCAACACTCAAGTAACCAAGCAAACCCAACAACAAAGACCACTGTTCATCCTTTCACCCCTAAACTCAAAGACTGGTTACAAAAAAAATTGATTCCAGTGTGGGAACTAGGGGTGTAAGGAGGAAATCCTGAAGTTTAATGTTACATACAATTGCCAATATTTTCAAAACAGGTGCAGAAAGAATGTGGTACACAGTTGGAGTGGCCTTAGTCTGATCTACCTGGGTGGACCTGCACAGCCCTGCCCAGCAGTTTAACCTATGCTGACACAGACCCCAAGGCAAGCTTGCACTTCCTAGGCCATGGATCTGAGTAAGGGGCTGTGTAAAGGCTTGGTCCCTCCTGGGGGAACTCCAGAGAAAGAGACAATTCATTGAGCTGTCCCACAGGAGCAGTCACTGTGTAGATATCTCCTGTGCTCACCGAGTTCACCTGCATCTTCTCTGAGCTTTCTGCTTAGATAATACCAGTGTTGGGGCTGTTCTTATGTTTCTGTACCATTCAGAGGGCTTTTCTCAAGGAGGGATTCATCAGCTCCCTTTAAAATAAGGTCAACATACAGCAGCACTAAAGATTTTGTCTTCTAAGTGACTTGCACCCCTTGATAAGATAATGTACTGGAAACGTATGTCACTGCGATATTTCTGAATGGATAAATAATGTATGATTCTGGCAAATGAAAGTTTTGAACTCAAGAGGA